CCGGGAAGCCCCTTCCTCTGGACCAGGAGCAGTGGGACACCGGCTCAGAAGCCCCTACCTCTGGGCCGGGAACAGTGGGACTCAGTACCTTGGTCTGGTGTCCTCTGCATCTTTGTAGTGTGGAATCAGGTGGCTGCCTGTCTTCAGTGGGATGATTTGGTGTCTTCCCCATGACTCAGGACCTCGGTAGGGCGTGCACAGACCTGCCTATCTGCAGCGGGCTCATTCGGCGTGTATTCCGCGCAACTCCAGCAAGTTTTTCTATAAAGAACTGGTAATATTTTTTGCTTTGTAGGCATATGGTTCTTATTGTAATCAATCAGCTGCCAGTGTGTAGAAGCAGTTATACAATATATAAATAAATGAGCAGGCTATGTTTCCCAAAATGTGTTTATAAAAAATGAATAGTGTATTGAGCCAAATTTGACCTCTGGGCTCTAGGAGTTTGCCAATCCCTCATCTCTACCAGTAATTCTCAACCTGAGGAGCTTTGAAATAATTTCAGCAGTCAATTTCTACTTTCAAACCAATTAGGTAGGAACGTTTGGGGGTGAGGTTTTGGTACTGGTATTTTAAAATAAGGTCCTACTTGATTCTACTCTGCTGCAAATATTGATTCTGATCCAAGTTTTGACCACAAAATGTTTTTTACACAGTTTTATACCTCTCTAATAGGAAGACAAGCAAACAAAGCCTGACGGCCTTATAGGCAGGAAATATCTTCTAGCTAAAGATCTTTTGTATTGATCACTTTCACCTATCTGTAATATTGCCCTGGTTCTATATTCTGTATATTGTATGTCTTTTTCTCCTGATTGACCAACTTTTTTTTTTTCATGAGTGAAAAGCTGTTGCTAAAATGATACGTCTTAAAAAATGGAGGGAATTTCTGTGAACTCTGATGGCATTTATTATCAGTCTTTGATCACTACTTATGAAGGCATAATTGCCTCTTATAAAATTCCCATTAGAAATAATCTTAGGTTTAGCCAACTGTCTTTTAATTCTCATGATGAAGGGAGCTGAAGGACCTTAAAACTAAGGAGTCATTTAATTTTTCATTAGAGAGTTATAGCTCTGATTGTTCTATATAATTAATTTGGAGGAGTAGTAGTTAAAATTATTCTGGTTATTCTAAATTATTTCATTTTAGTTTATTCAAATTTAAAGTGATGAATAACATTCAACTATGAGATTTAATTCAGGGAGTATTTACCTATCTGTAGTTGAGTGTTGTGCTTGATGTAAAGATTCTGTTCCTTTTATATGATGCTGATAAACTGTCTGAGCCTTTTATTCAATAGTCTTTGAGTTGGTGCTTGATAACAATTATTGGCTGAATAAACATATACTCCCCTTATAACGTCAGTGTAGAGGAATCTTTTGTCTTTCAGAAAACCATCTGGGCTTGGTGTTTTCTTGGTGAGAATACATTTATCCACTGACCAATTTTTTTGGGGGGGGGGGACCGGGGATTGAACTCAGGACCTTGCGCTTGCAAGGCAGGCGCCAGAACCACTGAGCTAAATCCCCGGCCCTCCACTGACCAATTTTTGTAATGTTTACAGTAACAAGTTATATTTTCTATTTCTTCTGAGTAACACACGAGTTTTAAAACATGACCTGAAGGTTCACGTACATCTAGAGGTGAATTCTCTGCTTCTCCCCTGGAATCTAAGCACTGTGATCCTTTACCAGTAGAGTCCTGCCAAAATGATACCTACATTGGCACTTTTTTGGTGAGAGAGGGGGCACACTTTAAGAAACTGAGATGCTAAATAATAAATGTATATGTAAAGGGGCCAAGACTTGTGGAGTTTGAAAATAAATCTGTTTCTCATTCCAAACATCTGACAGCAGAAGAGTCTCAAAACAAGAATGAACTTCAGGGCAGAGATCAGATCCAGTTAGTAGGTAACCAGCTTATCCTAGATTGCCCAGAAGTTTCCTGGCTTTAGCAGTGATAGTCACATATCCCAGGAAATCCCTCAATAATGTGACTGGAAGGCTGACTTTCTTCACTGGTCATATTGCTGACTTTTATTTTTTTATTCATTTATTTTTTACATTTAATTTTTAAAATTTTTATTAGTACATTAGTAATTTTTATTTTATTAGTTTGCAGTACACAATGATTTTATTTATCATGGAGTGTTGGTACACATACATAACACATCTTAATTCTTTTTATGTCCCCCTTCCCATTGTATGTTTCTTCTTTCTAGTCTAAATATTATTTTTCCCATTGGTCCCTATGTACCTATTACTGATTATAGAATTTTTTAATTAAAATAAATATGAAGAGAAATATCTCATTAATTTTTAATACAATAAATGAACTTATTTACTTAATATATGGAATATTTTACATTCATAGGCTAAAGGTTTTGTGAATTACTATGGACCACAGAGATTTGGGAAGGGAAGGAAAGTACACACAGATCATATTGGATTGGCATTGCTGAAGAGTGAAATGGTATGGATTTTAAAAAGTATTATCTGTTTATTCATTTATACTTAGTACACAAGCTAGCCTGTTCCTTTTTTAACCATAACTTACGTATATACACATATATACATATATGACATCATTGAATATAAAATAACTGCTTATAGAGTATCACATTATAAAAAGCAAAGTATATGTAATGTCTCTTACATGAGACTGGACAGAGAATTGACTAACAAGCCCTAAGTCCTTAGTGTACTGAATAGAAGAGTTAGAGGAAACAACCTCTTGTACCATAAATTAGGTATCAGATCGTGTGGAAATCCAGAGACTAAGAAGAGCAATAAATTTGAAAACAAAGTCTGACTAGTCACAAATGAAACTAAAAATACATGTCACAAATACGAAGCTACATTGTCCTATTAAAATGTTTATATGTGTATACTTTTAATATGTATTCATATATAATCATATGTATATTTTTTACATTGGAATGGACTACACATAATGAAGGAAAACTATAAAAATTATGTGTTTGAATAAATGTAAGATAGTCATATGATAGTATTGTACTCAAATGATCAGCTCTCCGCCATATTTCCATTTGTAAGATATGTCACAATTTAATCATCATTCTTATTTCACTCCAAGAAAAAGTGAATTCACATATCTTGTGATGTTGCATTATCCTAGACTTCTCATCTTAAGTTTTATTATATTTTATTTTGTCTGCTTATTTAATCTTTTATAGTAAGCTTTAATAGGACAAGACTGTGCCTCTTTTCCTCAACACTCTATCCCGTTGCCCTACACAGTACCTAGCGTATAGCAGGTGCTTAATATTTGCTTTAATATATTAGCTTCTAAATTAATATTTGTTTGAATGATTGAATACTGTAAAAGAAGATTGAGTTGAATGATTTTGTTTTTTGTTTCCCTTTAAGATAGGGTCTCACTATGTTGTTTAGCCTGCCTTTGAACTCACTGTATAGCCCAGGTTGGCCTCAACTCATGGCAGTCCTTCTGCCTCTATCTCCTGAGTGCTGGGATTAAGTGCATGCACCACCACTTCCAGCTCTAAATGACCTGTTTTAAGATCCTTTCCCACTCTAAGACAGTACAGTACTTAGAAATAAATTCCAGTGCTGGAGACACTTTTTTCCAAAGAATCCAGGGAATTGAAGATACAAATGAAGGCTCACCATTTCCTTATTCTTGCTTCCTCCTATTTCTGTCACATGTGTTGATCAAGTTCGAGTATTTAGGTCACTACTTTACACTTGTGTTCATATCTCAGTTGATGCTAGAAGTGCAACTGTGCAAGTGAGTGCAAAGGGGGCACTTTTTTCATTCTGTAATATTTTAAACTTACATAGAAAGTTAATTTGTACAGAAGATTTTTATTTCTGTATGTAATATTGACTTTAATTTTGGAAAGTCTAAAGAGAAATTTATTTATAACATCACAAATCATTTGTCAAATGCCTGTTCTTTTAGTGTGGCCAAGAATTTGCATATTTTTACAAATTTTTTTGACATTTTTATTCAACCTATGTTTTCTTGGTTTTTCAAGGTGAAGGCTGTAAAATTATTTCTTATGCCAGAGGACTCAGAAGATCCTGTAAATAGAGCCAAGAAATATTTTCTTCAAACTGGTATATAAGTTGCTTTACCACCCTGCATGTGGCTGTACAGATATGTAATACAAATTTTATGTCAGCTGTGGGCATTTATTGCAATTTACATGTGATAAGAAATAGATTGAAATATATTGTATTTTGAATCATTTTATCACATGATCTAAACACTTCATTTTTTTCCAGATCTCTGGGACTTTTGACTGTTCTAAATATTTCTTGAAATTAGGAGAGAGGGGAGAAATAGTTTTTTACTTTTCCCTGGCCAAGATCCTCTGTGGGGAGAAGAGTTCCAAATTCTAAGCCAGTACTGATGTCAGTATAATTTGTTACAACCAGAGGAGACTCAAATGTAAAATAAATGAAAGTTCTATGCTTTATGCATTGTTTTTGATCTAGTTGCCATTTGGTCCAGACTGTCAGCTTTGAAAACCTTAGATCAATGTGGTGGTTTCTACATAGAGAGCTTAATGGGATGCTCTAAAGGAAAGTGGCTCCGGTTAAATTGCATGGGCTTCTCCCTCTACATGAGGACTCTCCGAATGAATGATCTTGTGCAGATGATTTAACCCTGTTGTTTTAGTTGCCTTATCTCTAAATTGAAGCTAATAATGGTACTTAAAAAACTTAATTAAGAGATTTAAATAACATTTTTAAAATAGTGCCTGGCACATATTAAACCTTGGATAAATATTACTTGTATTAAATAATAATAGCAGCAACCATACCACTTTGATTCATTCAAATGTCTGATCTACTTACTGAATTATGGATATACTGAATTTCACTGAAATAAAGGACAGTAGTTTTCAAATATTTCTATTCATTATTTTAAATTATATATACATTATATAGAGATAATCATTCACAAAAGAGTAATATGTTTGTTCCATACCATGTTTTGTGAACAGTGTGCATTTGTGACTGTTAGGAGAAATCTAATTAATGGTGAAAGAATTTCAGTGTGACTTACTTGCTTGTATCTGTTGTAGAGTCTGAGGACATAATTTCTTCAAGTCAGTAATTCTTAAACTAATCTGCATAAGGAACACCTAGTATGTTTATTGAAAATGCCAAATATAAGGAACTACTTGAAAAAACATCTTTGCAGTGGAGCCCAAGAATCTACATTTTAAAAAGCACTGTTAGGGCCCGGGGATTTAGGTCAGTGGTTCCACTGCCTGCCTCGCAAGTGCAAGGACCCGAGTTCGATCCCCAGTACCAAAAAAAAAAAGAGGATCTGGATGTCAATTCTTTCTTATTCTAAAAGTCTGTATGTATGTCTGTAAAACTCTTTAAAAATCTCTAGGCTGGAGCGTGTAGCTCAGTGATGCAGTCCTTGCCTACCGTGTTTGAGGCCCTGGGTTCAATTCCCTGTATCATACACACACACACACACACACACACACACACGTGCACACACACAAATGAACAAACCTAGTCCCTACTAGCTTGGTGATTTGTTTAATCTGTAGGAATTTATCTGCTGTTTATTTTAACAGTCCTCTGAATAATTAGCTCCATTTCAAAGAAAGGAATTCTACGAACCATCCTTAATTTTGGACTTTTTTGCTTTTTTCCCCCCCTAATCTAAGAAGGAAAAAGAAGGGTCAAACAATGAATGACTTTTTATTTCAAAAAAATAGCTCTTTAAGCATAACTGGATTTAACTGATTGTGTCAAGGGTCATTTTCATATTTATGGTGATTCATTTAGACAGCATAAGGAAGGGCTCCATAAGTGGCTTTTAAGTAAAAGTGGCTGACTCTGATTTGCAATTCATTTCAGAAAATGCTAAAGGTACGCTTTCACTGATGCCTGAGTTCAAAGTTCGAGAGAGAGCATTGTTGGAGGCGTTACATCGCTTTGGCATGACAGAGGAGGGGTGCATCCAAGCATGGTTCTCTTTTCCCCATTCTATGCGCATATTCTACATTCATGCATATAGTAGCAAAATTTGGAATGAGGCAGTGTCTTACAGACTTGCAACCTATGGATCAAAAGTGGTGAAAGGTGATTTGATCTGTTTGGATGAAGATATTGATGAACATTTCCCAAATAGTAAAGTAAGTATTATTATTATTTAGAAACAAGGTCTTTGCGGCTCTCTATTGTTAAAAGAGAGATGTAGTTAACAAACAAGGGATATTAATTTTTAGAAGCCTTGATTTTTGAAATAATTTAAACCTAAGCATACATTGTGTGTGTGTGTGTGTGTGTGTGTGTGTGTGTGTGTGTGTTTTGCTTCCTAATCTCCAGATGCTATTCTGCTGTTAATTTAGGATGTCAATATATGGAAAAATAAAAACTTGTAAGAGAATCTTTTTTGGTTTTAAATAAGAGAAGTATAACTCAAAAGTTATTTAAGGAAGAACCAACAAAAATTTATCAGCCCTTAAAACTGAAGACCTTTGATTGATTCAGGCATAGCTTTATCTAGGGGATTAAAGCCTAAATTATCTTTTTTTTTTAATTTAATGTTCCATCTCTGCTTTTCACTGTGTTAGATCCAGTCTGGCTTTTAAGATTCTTTTATAGTTTTTTAGGGGGAAAATGAAATATGGGTTACACAATTTAAAACTTAGATGAACTCATAGTTGGGGGACAGTCATACAGCAGAAGTATGTTTGATAGTTAATTGTTTAATATCAACCTGGAAGAATGCTCTTAAAAACAAGGTGTGGTGCTCTGTACTTGACTGTGTTTGTTCAGTGTATTCATAAATTATTTAAATCCCAGTATGGTAAGGATGCCCATAAATCTGTGAAAGACAAAAAACTGGAAGAGATGATGCAAGAAAAATCATAGTTCCATGTACTTTATCTGTCCTTTGTATTTTAGTCAGGTAACATCTGGGGATGTGGAGCTTTATATCCGTTTCTGAATGCAGTAGTTAAATGGGACTATTCACCCTCTGTAAACAAATAAACCCAAAATGAGAACAGAAAGAGGAAGGACATCATGGATGAGTAGGGAGAATTGAAGGAAAAGCAAGTTAAGTTAGAGGGGATCTAGCACTATATTATGTGATGAATGCTTTAGAAATATGAGACTGCTCTTACCCATGTGGAAAGATGATAGCTGCCTTTATACTTGAGATTTTCTGTGGAGCAGAAATCAGAATTGTTTATTCTGTAATTTTCTTTTCTTTTTTTTCCCTCTTTGGGTTTTTGAGACAGTGTCTCACTATGTAGTCCAGGCTGGCCTTGAACTCACTATCGTAGCTCAGACTAGCCTCAAACTCTTGGGAATCCTCCTGCCTCAGCCTTGCAAGTGCTGGGATTACAGGTGTGCACCACCACACCTGGCTTTATTCTGTGATCTATAGTAACATTTCTCAAACTTAATTCGTCATAATCCTTTTTTTCTTCTTTCTGTGACACCTACTACTATTCTATGAAACAAAGGTTGACAAATACCATGCCTATATAGAGTATTATGATGCAGTATTTATTGGGGTGAGGCTGGGGGAATTGGTTGTACAGAAGCTGATTTTTTGATTCAGCCTAGTAAAGAATAACTTTATAAGTTAGGAAAAAAATGTTGGTGACTGAAGTGAAAGTATTGCCTTAGAGCAGCCCACCTTTCTGTTTGTCTTTCAACTTTAGTTCTCAGTAGTTGAAGCAGGAAAAATTATTCTAATTTTCATGTAGTCTACTTTGCCAGAAACATATTGTTAGGAAAAGATCCTGTTTGGTTATATTTATATTCATCATAGGAATCAAATTATACAAAATGGAGTTAGGGAAAATTGATGTAATTTGAACACATGGGAACCTCGTTTTCATCATGTTTTTAAAAAAATAGGTTCATCTGGTAACTGATGAAGAGGAAGCAGCTGGTACATATGAAATACACCAGGTAAATTTGCTTAAAAATTACTGTCACTTTACACTTCGGTGTAAGCATTGTCTCAAAAAAAAAAATTCACTTAGTTTACACTTCTACAAATTTTCATGAACATATATAGTCATATGACCACCTTAAAAATCAATATAAAGAATAGTTTCATCTTTCCCTCAAATTTCCTCATGTACTTTTGTAGCTACCCCCACTCCTGTCCCCAGACCTGGAAACCACTGGTTTATTTCCTGTCACTATGGTTTTGCCTTTGAAAGCATATCGTATAAATGGAATTGAACAGTATAACTTTTATGTGTGGCTTCTTTCGTTTGTGTAATTAACATCTGTGAGATTCATTCATGTTGTGTATATTTGAAGGGTTTTTTTCCTTTTTCTAATTACCTTTTGGTACTATTCAAGCAAACTGTCTAGAACTCATCAGCAAAAGAGGAAATCCCCACAAAATGCAATGTTTATTCACAAGCAGCTGAGAAAATAAGCATTGTATTTGCTGTGACTTGGTTACTTTCTTGTTTTTAAAAAGTAAGAAGCATTTAAAATTGTTATCCAAAATACTAGTTACATTATAGAGCAGTAGAGGCCACTCTTGTGTTACAGAGTATGCTTTTAGGATTGCATGATCATAGAGATTCAATCTTTATTGACTAAATAGTCCTAACTTCTTGAATCACGGTTTGTCTAGTGATATCTGCATTGAATCATTTACCTTAGTTATTGCAAGTTCTTTACCTGGCAGCATTAAAAATGTAGTTTAGTATCCAAAGCAAATTTTAGGTTGATTGAAATATTTATATTCTGAGACTGTTTACAGATCTAGGCCCTAGTTATAAAAGTAAAATGTGGTCATATCTCTTTCTGAAGGCTGTTTCATGTATTTTTTTTTCCTTCCCACTCACAGGTGGTTCTTCCAGTACTTGGATACAATATTCAGTACCCAGAGAACAAAGTAGGGCAGTGGTATGGGGAAATACTTAACAGAGATGGACTACAGACATGTACGTTTAAAGTACCTGCTCTGAAACTGAATGTACCAGGATGTTACAGACAGATTTTGAAGCATCCCCGTAATCTCTCATACAAACTAATGAGAGATCATGATACTGATGTCAAAATGCAAGGTTCCCACATTGAGGAAGCAACTGTGTCTCTTTTGATCTCTTTTGATCTTGATGCTTCATGTTATGCCACAGTTTGTCTGAGGGAAATAATGAAGCATGATGTTTAAAACTGATACCCTTAACATACTCATATGTATATCACTCTTTAAAGGAAAGGGAGCTGAAATTTCCTGAGCATCTTCCATACACTAGGAGCTTCATAATTGTTGTCTCTTAATTTTCACAACATCCTAGGAAGTTGGAATTTGATGCTTTAATGTTCCAGGAAGGTAAGTGTCAGAGTCATTTTAAGATCTATGTGACTCCATTGCCTGTTCTATTATATCATGCTTCAATAGTCTTTGTTCAGTGTCATAAAATTTACAGTCTTTTTAAACTACTAAAAACATATACTGTAAGATAACATTTAAGAAAAAATATCTTAAAGTAATACTCCAGCTCAGTGGTGGCAAACCTATGGCACATGTGCTGCAGTGGTGACACAGAGCCCTCTCTGTCGACAAGCAAGCCAAGTTGCCCCAGCATCACCCCAGCAGCCAAGCATCGGATATTCAGAATTAATTACAGTGACAAATAAATGGGTTTTGGGTTGCAGTTTTTACCCCTTTATGAGATAAATAATCTTTGATGAAGGATGAAGTAAAATTTTCCATATAGTTTTTATATCTTGGCTTACATTAACTCCCTAAATCTTTTTTTCTATTATCTAAAACACAGACTTTAGTGTCAGACAGGTCTGTGCTCTGACTTCAGCTCTGACATACACTAGTATCTTAGCATATGTTATTCTTTTAAGAATCAAGGCAAGAGGATTGCTGCAAGTTCAGAGCCAGCCTAGGCTACATGGTGAGTTCAAAGCCAGTCTGAACTACATAATGGGATCCTGTCTCAAAAAAAAGAGGTAGTATCAGTTTCATAAATGGCAAAGAACACAAATATCTGCACCTTTTATGTTGCTAGACAAAGGAAACATTTTGCCCATTTGAAAATTTTAGTGTTTCTCAGTTTAACTGTCCCACATTAATAAATTGTCTTTTTTTTTTTCTTAAAGACGAAGTTTCACTATGTAGTTCAGGCTGGTCTTGAACTCACTATGTAGCCCAGGCTGGCCTCCCGCCTCATGCTCTCAAGCCTCTCAATTATGGGTATGCACCACCACACCTGGCTCTCATAAATTATCCTTAATGACTTTTTAATCAGTTAAATTTGTGGTGGGAAGATGACTGATTCTTACGTATGGGGAAGATCTGAGCATCCTTTCAGTGCTGGTATGATGATGAAATTTAAAGAGCAGTATAGAACATTAAATATCAGTAACCAGGCACTTTAATATGCTATAAGTCAGTCTAACAACTTAGGGAATATTAGCACAAGAGAATTAAATTAAAGACAAGGAAAAAGGTTATATGTAATGCAAAATTTGCTTATTATAGCATGTTATATATAATGAAAGAAATTAGAAATAATTTGAAAGCATTAAATAACTAATGTAAGTAAAATGAGATAAACCAAATTGATGGCAAGGATGTAGTTATTAAAAATGAAGGGTTTAGTAACATTAGAAAATATTACCCTCCCTAAAGCAGAATATGTGTATTACATGAATGCAGTAATATACTGAATTCACCTTTTACAAATGAAAGGCATTTTGGCATAGTGATTAAAAGCATATATATGGAGACAAATTCTTCCTGTTTGAACTCTGGGCCTATGTTAGACATAGCACTGGGCAGATGATTTAAATTTGTATGCTTGATACAGGTATTACTAACTTCATAGGATTATTGTGAAGACTTCCTGAGTTAATATATGTACAATAGTCATAAAGGAGTGCCTGGCACTTAAATTATTGCTAAATAAATATCTGCAGGTACAAATTTAGAAGAGAAAGAAAAAAGAAATGCAAATATTCAGTTAAGATGATGGAGTGTTTAAATTACATTTTTGATATATATTTTAGCAATAAATTGAACACAAAAATTGGATATTATAGTCTTGATTTTTAAAAATTAACTTCACAGTTCTAATATTTATTGAAAACGAAGTGTGTTGCTCTATTAGGTAGCAAAATAAATTTTTTTAAAATGACCTATTTTGTAATAAATTATATCTTATGAATGTTATCAGAAAATAAGATATCAATTATTAAATCCTAGTTTTCTTTAAAACGTCAGAAAATAAAAAAACCATAAAAATATACTATCAGTAATATTTTCTTCACCTGTAGGTGGCACTATAATTTTAGATATCCTATTTAGTACAGTAACTGCTTTAGTCATGTATAAAGACAGGATCACTGTTTTTTTCATTATGAAATATTTTGATATTATGTGAAAAATGTCAGTAATATTTGCCATGATAATTTTTTTTCAGTTTAGGAACTTTATTAATGTACTTTGGACCAACTAACGACCAATCCAAGTTTTCATGGGCATTTAAGATCTTCATAAGTATGCCTTTTGGTTTAGTTTTAATTATCAAAGTTACATTTGAAACTGAATAATAGTGCCTGTGGATCAGTAAGGTGAAATAATTTCCAGTTTTCTTAATCAAAATTTTTTGTTAGTTGTAATAAAGTTTTGACCCAACTAATGTTTATTTATATTAAATGTTTTATTTAAAGGCTGTAAATGTGAAAAAAGAAGATAACACAGATTACATTATGATGATCAAGGCCGTGTTCTATATGACAGAAATCAAAACAAAACAAATTTATACAGTAAATATACCAGCACTGAACACAGTACTTGAAATTTAACCCAAGGTACATATGCATAAAATGATCTGACTACAGGATTATGCAAAATAAACTTTTTTAGAACATCAGAATGTCAAGCATTCTGACTATAAACTGACTTATTCCCCTAAACAGTATTTTGAGACAATTTCTATATGACATGAAAAGAACTGATGTAACACTTAAATACTATAAAAATAGTTGAAAACATTTGTAATGCAGTTCTCTATAAACTATAGTTAATCTTATTACTTAAAAAATTGAAAAACAAAAGACTACCATGGATAATGGTGAAAACCTCATCAAAGAAAAAAATGCTCATCATTTGGATATCATTGGCAGAAAACTGATAAGATTTTGTTGAGGGGAATAGAGAAGGTATCTAATGAGGTCATGTAAAATTTGTTTAAAAATGTTCATAAAGTTGTAAATTTCTGCTTTTACCATCTTAAAATATTATACCAAGAACACACGTTCTACTGTTTAACTGGAGGACAAAAGAATATCTTGAAAAAAGCGTTTCTCAAAATGAGGTTCAAAAGCCCAAAAGAACTCTAATGTGGGCTCAGTAATAAATATGTTAAACAAACACCCTGTGTGATTATTCTACATTCTGAATGCCCTACGGAAAAGAGCAACACTTAAAAGCAAGATCATAAACATATTTCTGACATGTTAGAATTGTCTATAAGTTTATGTTGTGAATACTGCTTTTTGTTTTAAAACAAGTGCCAGGCATTAAGAGAAACATACATGCCTCTGAAATGAACATGTGTATGCCTATAAACATTTTCCTTTGATGCTTTCATTAGTTTCAAACTAAATTATATGAAAAGACAGTACACGACCACAGGGTTTGGAAAAGTAATATTTCTCATGAAATGGGGCATCTGAAAAAGATCAAAGACAATTTATTAAATGTTTACAAATTTCAAACCATTCCAAATCCAAAACTAGATCATTAACTAAAATTAAATTAAACTAAGATTGTACCATTATATCATTTACATTTAGATGATGGTTACCTTTCAAATCCTTGGCATAAAAATGATACTAAAACAGAAGGATGATATATAGCATCCTAATTTTACTTAATGATCTAGCTCTAAACCTAGAACAATTTAAAATTTGCAAACATTCAAGAAACAATCCATTAACCATTTTCAGATGCCCCATTTCATGAAAACCATTACCCTTCCAAAGCTTGTAGCCATTTATCTTCTTCATATAAAAAAGATACAAGTATATGTGTTTTTATTCAAAATTGTTGCTATTTTTTGGATTTTCCTGAAGACTACATAAACTGAACCCAAAAAGTACAGGTAATGTGGTTGGAGAGAAACTAGCATAGGTAAGATATTTTACTAAAAAGACATTGTTTTCTTGTATCATAAGTAAAAAGAAAAAATATTAGACAGTATGTCTCACTTAACAAATGGAATGCATATACAAGTGTGATTAACAAGTGATTGCCTCATTATTTAAATCAGTTCATAAAAATCTAATCTATGAACAAAAAATTCCATAGTCTTTACTATAGACTATAAGGATCAAGTATTACATCTAAATATAACTTCAAAACAATAAATTAAAATTAGTTTCCATACAATTCTGAAATGGTTAATTCTATCCAGGCTGGTAACAAGTTCTTCCAAGCATTAAATGGCAACAAGCAAAATGTATAGTTGAAAAATGAGGATCTGACCCATTCTTCATACATCGTAAGATGATTGATATACTCAAACCCTGCAAATTCATATCCATCAAGCTCCCGCATGATGTCATTGTCATCTGGGGTGAGCCAGACAGGTTCTTTAGTAAATTCAGGATCAAAGTTCAAACCAAATCCCTCGGAGATATTTGGTTTAAAGGGAGGCACCACCTGCTTTTGCTCCATCATGTCCCAGTCCACATTTTGAAAGAATGGATGCTCCTGAACATCAGCAAAGCCCCTGTGAGGGTGACAACCCAGTCATTCTTTTGGCTCCCTGTTCAGAAAATTCTTCAGGACACTTGCCACTTTTACAGACAGACAACGAGGTATGAAAATGTCTCTTTCCAAAATTACTTGCAAGATATTCTCAGTTGAATCTCCATAAAGTTTATCAGAGCTCTCATCAAGATGGAATGGAGGGAGACTCTCCGATCATCATCTCATACATCAGTACTCCAAGAGTCCACCAGTCCACACTGAAACTGTAATCTTCCCCTCTTATAATTTCTGGAGCCACAAAATGAGTGCCACAGAAAGTGCTGGTCATGTCTCCTGGCTGTAAGCCTTCCTTACTCAAGCAATAATCGGTGAGTTTAATGTGCCCTTCTGAGTCCAGTAATACATTTTCCAATTTTAAATTTCTGTGATGTATTCCTTGCTGATGAAGATAGTTGAGTGCTAAACTGATTTCTGCAGAGTAAAACCTGGCATGTTCTTCAGGAAGCATTCTTTGTTGCTGCATATGAAACATCAGTTCTTCACCATTTACATAGTCTAGAATAAGGACAGTCTGCTTTCTGTCTGGAAGCAAGAATGCAGTCCAACAAGAAAGAACAATTGGATGCCTGCTGTAAAATGTGCTTCTCTGCACCCAATCAATGTTGACATGCTCTTTTTTCACTGCTTTCATTGCATACATACGATTTGATTTTTTTCAGTTGGACTAACAGTACTTTCCCATAACTTCCTCTGCCAATCACTCAGAGCAAATCAAAGTTCTCAAGACCTAAACCAGATGAAGCTTTGCCACTTTCCACAGTGTTCCCTGCCTCATTCTCTTCATCAACTTGTTCTAAAGCCTCATGAGTTGAAAGGTTATGTGGAATCGCTGAGTGTGCAGGGTCTGAAGCCATGGGTGATGGATCGACTGGCACCATAGTCTCTGATGGTAAAGAATGCTTCCCACATTCAATTGTGACAAGTTTGTGGCACTTCTTGTGAACCGAGAGTTTATGGTTGGTGCACTTATATACCTGGTGGCCAAGTCCCCCTACACGGTCTGTGCAGACAGCACAGTGAGTGCATGTGCTGAAGCATTTGGCCTGAAAAGTATGGCCATTCACATAATACAGCTTTCTCCAGTGGCCTGCAGCTCTGTGGTGGATGGATTTCTCTTCTCGTGGACAAGGCACTTAAGGATGTTCTGGTATACAAGGTGATGAATGAATTAAGAGCTCAGAATCCTCCTTTAGCTCAGAAAGCCTAAAGGCTTCTTCTAACTCCAACTGATGTGACACAGTATATGGGTCTCCTTCCTCTACCCAGTGTGTGGTGAAAAGCTGTTTATTCAAACACCACACATCTCGATCTTTATCACACAGGCCCTCAAAGGAGCTGGAATTCTCAAGAGACCTTGTCATGATGCCTCTTCCCAAAATCAGGGCTGATCGGGTAGAGATGTGGGTGGTGGAGGTGCCTGGGAAAAGGAACCATAGATGGGTTGGCTGCCCAGGAAAATGGACAGAAAGGGCTCAGAGAATGAGAGTGGCCTGACTGCCTGCAGGGACCACACTGGCTGGAATTCTGCAAGGCTCTCTGTGAAGTTGTTTCCAATAGTAGTGTCCAGGCCTGGGTGGATGTACACCAGGCTTCTCAGTGTCTCTCAGGGGCCAGTGGCTATGACTTCAGACTCCCTCTCTGGACTTGGACTCTCTAGGTTTTTTGTGCCTGGCTCTGGGGAGACCTGCCCAGAGCTACTGGGTGTTTCTGGGCCTGGTGATACTTGCCCCATGCTTTTCCCAGTTTCTGCACTGTTGCTATTTGAGCTCAGGGAGACTTCACTGGGGTACCTTGATTTTGGTAGGTCACTGTTGGTCACTCCTGGGGAGACCATCCCTGGGGTGTCTGTGACAGTCATGTGGCTGCTGCAGCATGGCCTGCGGTGTCTGGATGGAATCAGCCATCTTCTTAATCTTTCACAGATACTTTCTCTGCCTGGGGTCCTGAGGCTGCAGCCTCTTGAAGTGGAGAAGCAGTTCAGCATGCTCACGGTTGACCGTCTCCACCCAAGTGAGGTCAGGAAACAGCTTTTACTAGATTGTGATGCCCTTTAGCAAGGGTTCCAAGTTCTGTTTGGAGATGTTGCCAAGGAAGTGAGCTCATGTCTTGGGGTTTCATAACCTGAGTCTCCATGTATAGAAAAGCCTATAGCCCTGTAGGGTTAGAGACCCTTAGGCAGGGAGAGATGATCCCCTCCCCATAGGAGTTTAGATAGCTGGCAGAACAGGCTTAACCACCCATAAAAAGCTGACAGTCTGCTGAGGTTGCACCTCTTCTGCACGCTGTGCCTTGCAAAACTTAGTTTGCTAAGATCAAAAGGAAAAAGAACCTTGACCCTAAGATGTAAAAGGCCCCTGAAAAGACCCTTCTCTGTTGTCCCTAGTAATGAGCTAAGTTAATCATTAACCAATCAAATAGGGGAGCCCTCAGCCCAGAGGCAGGATAGACCCTCAACTACTATAAAACTAGCATCTTGAGCCCCCCCCCCCCAATGGTGGCTCTGTTTCGGGCACCCCTGCTTGTCTCTCTGAGAGAGGGCAGTTGTACTCCTGCATGCTTGCTGAATAAAAGTACAACTTTGCTTCTATGCTTTCGGTCTCTATTTGATTCTTCCACAACCTTCTGCATCATTGGGAGAGTCAGGCCTGGGACTGCGGGGACTCTCCACCTGTTACCACTGCCTATGTAAGCCATTTTTTCTTCATACTAAATAAATCAGTGGCCACTTATTTTGTTATTTTTCTCTAAGTATCTATGAATATTTTTATCTATTTATCATCTATCTGTTAGTTTTTCACTTTTGCATTACTGGGGCTTGTACTCTGCATCTCCTCAGTGAAGTATATCCTCAGACATTTTACTTCAGATACCCACTAAGGGTCTCACTAACTCACCAAATTGGTTGGGCTGGACTCCACCATGTGATCTTCTTACCTCAGCTGTCCAGAGTGCTGGGGTTACAGCCTAATTCAGTGTGTTTTAATAATATCTTCTTGATCTTCTCTTTTACTTTTTTATATTCTTGAGAGAATTACAGGGCTTGTGACCTTCCATCCTCCAGTGTGTACTTTTACTTTGCTTTTTCCTTTTTTACTCAGCCCAATATCCCTCTTGCAGAGCCAATTTCTCCCTCACTCTTCACTTCTACTTTGTCAAATATACTTTTTCTCTGTTATTTGCTCAATTCTTTGTTTGAGATGAGAAGAACCTTGCAGGTGGAGTACACTCCGAGTTTCTCCAGTTTCTTGGCCTGTGGTGCAGAGTGCAGCTGCACCTTCTTCACGGCAATCCGGGCCAAGTCGCTCCCTTCTGGGCCTTTGGCCAAGCCTGCCGCCACCACTGTGGTTGCTGGACAGCAGGCGCCTGAGCCATGGCGGCGGTGGCACAGGGGGGCCCCTGTGAGGGTGTGGAGGGCAGCGCCCTGGGCCCAGCCCCCGCCCCACTGCCCCCCCCGCCCCTCCCCTCCAACCTTGGACATGTGACCCAGGAGCGCCACTCAGGCGCCGAGCTGAGGCGCAGCTGCGGCCAGGGTCCTGCTCCGGCTGTGCACCCCAACTAATGTTTATTGAGTGTCTGTTTTGATAGCATCTCTAATTTTAATCCGTATACCATCCTATAAGGAGGTAGTAGTTTACTTCACCCCTTTTTTGCATATTAGAAATATATCTGAGTGGTTTACTGATTCAAGGTCAAACAAAATAGTGTGTGTTGAACTTGATTATGCTTCCTACATCAGTACTGCTTTTATTTGTGTAACATTTGCCTTTTTTTTTTTTGTACTGGGGATGGAACTCAAGACCTTGTGCTTGTGAGGCAGGTGCGGTGCTACTGAGCTAAATCCCTGGCCCAATATTTGCCTTTTGTAAACAAGTTTTTTAGGTATAATTTCCAATTCTACCAACCTGATATTGTCTCCCATTGATTAATAGGCATATTGAGGCATGTCTTGAGGGAAACAAGATTCCTTTTGAGATTCTGAGACCAAAACAGAAGTAAAAGAGATCATTCAGGTAATTCCTAAATCATTTTGGGGGTATTCCATAGAATATTTGGGATTTGTTTAACAATGATATACAAAATTTTCATAGGTTGAAGGAAGTTATTTGAGATGGTTCCTGGCACAGTGTTAAAGGTCATTGAAAAGAAATATATAGTGAGGAAGTTCCTCAGTTCTCTTGGAGTCTTCTTATCAGTCTGTAAGAAAGAAGAAAGCTGATCAATACTAGTTCACATACATCAATAATGCTTGCTGATTTTCCTTTTCAACAGAGATGCAGATGTCATCCTCAGAAATATCAACAGGAAATAATGTCTAACTAGAATTTAATAATATTGTTTTGTTTTATGAATTCTATTTACAGTGTATTTTTGGCAAACAATTCAGGTTTCCCATTTTTGTGATGATGTTTTCTTTAAAACTAAATTTAATTTTGAAAACAGAATCAATTGAAATGTATTAAATAATAAGTGTGACTAGAACAGTAATTATAATACCAGTACATGAATGATTAAAGTTTGAGAAACACTTGGTATGGTTGAGAATCCCTGAACTTAGGTTCTGCCACTGCAATGGGATATGACTTTAGTAGCCCACTGAATTTCTCTGTTGTGGGTATTCTCAGATTCGAAGTAATGTTAGTCACAATTTTTCTAATTCTGGATAGTATTACATCAAATAAAATTATGAAAAAAACACAAATTTGAGATATGAATAGAGGTAGTAATGATCATTTATGCCATATCTTGATGTTTAGGTGACAGGGACTTCATTTTTGAAAGTTTATTGAAATATTGAGAACAGTGACTACCAAATTCTCAATAAATTCCAGCTAGTGTTTTTATTAATAGTCAGTTCAATGACCTTCCATTGAGATCTGATCTGAGGTTTAGTGTAATTATAATTCACACTTGCAGTTTTTTGTTTTTTCTAAGTGGAAGTAACTATTTCTGTGTCTAAGGATTCAGTAGTTTGTTCAAGATAGGTTCTATAAGAACTATGTAGGTTAGTGTTCTTCATCATTTTCCACCTGGAAACAATCATTAGGAGGCCAAAAAGAAAATGAAACCCTGTTGTCTTAGTTACTTTTCTCATTGCTGAGACAAGATACTCGACATCCAAACTTAAAAGGGGAAAGGTTTATTTAGCTCATAGTTTGTAGGGGCTTCAGTCCATAATTGGCTGGCTCCAAGGCAGGCTGGCACATGGCAGAGGGGCAATAGTTCATGGTGGTCCTAAGGTAGCAAAGCAACAAGGGACCTTAATGGTGTCTTTCTGACCCTTTTATCCAGACTAGAGGGATAAGGGTGGTGTCAAACCTAACACTGGACTGATTTAGTGATCACACACCCCTAATCCCAGCATCACGCTGAAATATCCCTATGACCACATGAGGCTTTGGGGGGACATCTAGACACAAACCATAGCATTCTATCCCTGGCACACCAGAGACTCATGCACATCCCTTTATGCAAAAGACATTTAGTCCATCTCTAAGTGTTGCCAAAGTCCTAACAGTTTCAGGATTGCTAAAAAGTCTAAGTCCCGTATCCTCTGAGATTTAAGGCAAACTCTTAGCTATAAGCCCCTGTACAAATAAAAAGGAAAGTTAAACACTTCCAACATAAAATAGCATAAGATAAGACATTTCCGTTCCAAAGGTTACAAGTGGGGATAGCAAGGAAGGGTAATAAAGCAAGACCAAAATCTAGTAGGGTAAACATTAAATCCCACAATTCCATTTCTAACATCCCTGGCAATCTGGCAAGTTATGAACTCCAAAGGGCTTGAGTGGCTCTGCCCCTAAGGCACTGCTGGTGGTTGTAGCTCCTGTGACTTCTTTCTTGGGCTAGCTCTTTTCCCTCCTTCCAGTTTTCCTCAGATGACCCATGTTCCTTGCTTCTCCAAACTCCTGTGGTCACCACTGCACCTATATTGTTTTTTATTAAGTTTATTAGTACATTTTAGGTATACAATATAGTTACATTCATCACTGGGATCTTATACCTTTATATGATGTATCTTGGTTCTTATTTTTTCCCCATTGCCTGGCCCTCCCTTCACCCCCTTCACCTTTCCCTATTTATAAATAATTTGTTTCCATTTTTTTCCTTTTCTCATATTTTTTCTTTTCTTTCCTTTTCCCTACCCTTCCCATTTACCCTATTCCTTTAGACCTTTTCTTCCTATTTCACAATATCAATTATACATTTTGATTCTCATTTACACTTTTAGTTTTACACGACCAGAGAAACTATTTGGTATTTACACATGTGTGTCCTATTTATTTCACTTAAGAGTATTGCCTCAATGTGCATCCACTTAGCAATAAATGTCTCTAATTTCTCATTCTTTATGGCTGAGTAGTACTCCATTTTATTTTTTAAAAAAGCCACATATTCTTTATCCAGTCTCCAGTTGATGGGAAATTGGGATATTTCCGAGTTTTAGCTATTATAAGCTGTGCCGCTATAAATATGGGTGAGCATATATCACTGTGGTATGATTCTTTTAATTCTTTGGGAAGATACCCACCAGAGGAATAGCTGGGACAAATGGGACCTCCAATCCTAGTTGTTTGAGGTATCTCCATATTGATTTCCACAGTGGTTGCTCCAGTCTGCACTCTGACAATGAAGAAGGGTTCCTTTCTCCCCACAACCCTGCCAGCATTTGTTATTGGTTGATTTCTTGATAGCAACCATTCTTTCTGGGGTGAAGTGGAATCTCAGTGTTGTTTTCATCTGCATCTCTCGAATGACCAGTGATGTTGAACATTTTCTCATGTTTATTTGGTGCTTTTGCTTCTTTGAGAAATGTCTGTTCATTGAAGATGCCCATTTTTGAATTGGGTCTTTATATTTGGGGGGGGGTCTGAGTTTTTTTGGTACTGGGGATCGAACTCGGGTCCTTGAGCTTGCAGGGCAGGCAGCAGAACCACTGAGCTAAATCCTGGGCCCTAAGTTTTTTGAATTCTTTATATATTTTAGATAGTAGACCTTTGTCTGAGGAACAGCTGGTAAAATTTTTTTCCCATCACATTGTAGGTTGTCTCTTAGCTCTGTTGGTGGTTTCTCTTGCAGTGCAGGAGCTTTTTAATGAGGTACCAGTTGTTAATTCTTTTTGCTAGTTCCCATGCTACTGAGGATTTGTTCATAAAGTCTTTTCCTATACCAGTGTCTTTGAGAGTTTTACCTAACTTATCTTCCAGCAAGTTTAGTGTTTCTGTTTTAATATTTAGATCTTTAATGCACTTGGATTTTAGTTTAGTGCATGGTGAAAGATAGGTGTCTAGTTTTATATCTTTGGCAAGTTGAAATCCAGTTTTCCTAACACCATTTATTAAAGAGGCTATCTTTCCTCCAGTGAGGATTGTTGGCTCCTTTGTCAAAGATAAGGTAGCTGAGTGTGTCTGGAGTTGTTTCTACATCTTCTAATCTATACTGATCCTCAGGTCTGTTTCTTTGCCAGTACCATGCTGTTTTTATCACAGTGGCTTTGTAGTATAGTTTCAAGTTGGAGATTGTGATACGCCCTTCCATGTCTGTGTTGCCTAGAATTGCTTTTGCTATTCTATGTCCCTTCTGGTTCCAGATGAATTTTTGGATTGTTTTCTCTAGTTCTGTGAAATACACTGTTGGGATTTCCATAGAGATTGCATTGAATTTATATAGCAGTTTTGGAAGTATGGTTATTTTCATTATATTGGTTCTTCCTACTCAGGAACAAGGAATGTCTTTCCATTTTCTTATATCCTCTTCAATCTCTTTTTTTCAGTGTTGTAGTTTTCATTGTAGAGGTCTTTTGCTTCCTTTGTTAGATTGATTCCTAGATATTTCATTTTTTTGGATGCTATTGTGAAAGGGATTGTTTCCCTAATTTCTCTCTCAGTGAGTCTGTTATTTGTGTACAAGAAGGCTATTGATTTTTGAGTGTTGACCTTGTGTCCAGCTACTCTACTGAATCTATCAATTAAGTCTAGAAGTCTTTTGGTGGCAATTTTTGGGTCTTCTATGTAGAGTATCATATCATCTGAGCCACACTTTAAAGGGACCTACCAAAGTAGGGACACAAAGGCTGATAGATGATCACTTCAAATATCCTTCTGTAAAACTCTATAGAGAAGTAACAATATTACAATGCATTTTCCTCCTTTTAAGATGAAGACTCTCCTATTTTATTGTCAATATGTGGCAGATATAGGTTTTAAAAACTTACCTTTGGCGGTATCCTGGGGCAACACAAGACCAAGACAGTAAACCTAGGCTACTTTCAGGGCAAAAAACAAAACCCGCCAAGTCATCCCACCTCTGAATACATGGTGTTTTTCTGTGAGGCGAGGGGATATGTGCATTCCTTGCTTCTCTGCAGGCTATAGAGGCAACACTGAAGGGGGACTGAGGGGTGTGGGGGCGGTGGGGGGGTGTCACTCCCTCCCGTTTCACCTTCCAGAAGCACGGGGACCCCAGAAATGGCTAGCTTTTGTGACCGTCAAGCTGCTGTTCTGTCCCTCCTATTCCGTGCAGCTGCCGTCGCTCCTCATTGGCTAAATGCTTCTGGTTTGATGAACTACGATTGGTTGCGCCAATCAGTCAGGGCCACACCCCCTCAGCATCCCAGAGGCCGCTTCTTTGGTCAAGAACCGAGAGAGGTGCAGGGGAAACTAGAGCATGATGGTAGCTTCGCACAACCATCATCTTTTTTCTTTTCTTTCTTTCTTTTATTTTTAAGCTCATTCGTGCCTCTCCCAGGTGCTGTTTCCCCTGAGCACCTCTCTCCAATCAGCACTGCCTAATAACAGAACCACTGCACCTTTAACTTCACCCTCACAGCTTCACACACTGCCCTCTTAAGGGCACACTGCCTGGCCTGCCAGCCCTTCTGAAATTTTGGTCTAAGTTTTCCCTACCCCACAACTCTTGTATTCTGCATGTGCTTAAAACCAGCACCACATGGATGATACCAAGGTCTGCTGCCAGCTGGAGCAGTAGCCAGGCTTCCTTCTTTCTTGGCTATAGTGGTTCAGTGCCTATAATCCAAATCCTGAGGAACAACTTCCCTAGGCTGCTGCCATTCTGGAACATGGTACTCTGGGGCTTTCTTCTCAAAGCAAAGTCTTTCATCTTTGGGTGCTGCAAAGAATGGAGTCCTGCTGCTTTTTGTGATGCCCTCAGACCATCTTTTCTATTTACCCATTCCTTCTCAACAGTCAAGAGCTCCTCAGCTCTATCTTTGCAGGCCACATCTTTACTGGAGCTTCCTTACTAGCCAAACTCAAAATGTTTTAAATCATTCTGCTGGGCCCTTTGCTTTTGATTTTCAACATAATTCTGGCTAAAAACCCCCAACAGTAGCCATGCCACTGCTCCAACATTATAGTGTCTTGAAATTTCTTCTGAAAGATTTAGTCCACTGCCCTAATCTCAAGTCTCAGGCAAAGTCTCTGGATACAAGCAAAATGCAGACAAACTTCCTGCCAAAGCATCACTTGGGGTCCAACAGCCAATGCAGTCCTTGCCAGCAGAAACCTCCTGAGCTTGGTCTTTACCAGCTTGCTGTTCTTCTGAGCTCTAACCAGTATCTCCCATACAGTACAGCCTGAGGTGTTCCAGCTCTACTTTTTCAACCAGCATCTCTGGAACCTTTCCTAACTCTTCCACCTTCCCACAAGACAGTTCCAAAGGCTCTTGAGTCATATGGCCAGGTACTGTCATAGCAATCACCCCATGTCTGGTACCAAATTTCTGTCTTAGTTATTTTTCTGCAACAAAATACCTGACACTCAAAGTTAAAAGGGGAAAGGTTTACTTAGCTCACAGTTTGTAGTGGCTTCTGTCCATAGTTAGCTGGCTCCAAGGCAGGGTGGTACATAGCAGAGCAACAAGGGAACTTGGCAGCATCTTTCTGCCCCTTTTATTCGGACGACTGGATTTATGACAGTGCCAGACTAATCAATGAACTGATTTAGTAATCACATACGCTTAATCCCAGCATCACACACTTTAGATTCAGCTACCTCTGAAAAAGCCTTATGACTGCATCTAGACACAAACCATAAGGCCTGTATAACTAAATGTAAAGTTTCCTTGTGTTAAAGGAAAAGGTAGCAAAAGAGGTTGGAAGATGGTATGGGGAGGTAACAATAGGATTTTTTTTTCTCTACTTCTGAAATATTTGAATTTTAAACAAGAATATACTTTTGTAATAATTCTAGATAAAAAACTTTGAAGACTACTCAAGGTTCAGCGGGAGAATGGTAAGGTAATTCATGACTTCTGATTGCATTTGTTCAGTATTGTTTTGATGGCCCATGCTGAAATGCAAGAGAGAAATTTATGCATTAAACATTTTAATGGCATCATGACAGTTATGTAAATATTATAGTTTAAAATGTAATGCCTATTATGGATTTCACTTTCAGATTTCTGATAAGTTCTATCTTAAAGATAGCTTGGTGTCTTATGGTAGTGTTTTAATCTGTTTTGTTGTTGTTGTTTGTTTGTTTTTGGTGATACAGGGGATTGAACTTTGGGCCTGCATACTAAACTACACCCCATCCCTTTTTTTTAAATTTTAGAACAAAGTCTTGTTAAGTGGCTAAGTTGCCTAGGCTGGGTTCAAATTAATGACCTTCCTGCCATAGCCTCCCAGGATATTTTTGATAGACTATTATGCAATGCCAACTATATGGTACAGTTATGGTATACATATTGTCTAAATATATGGTACAAATACTTGAGTGATTCTAAATTAGAGGCATTCTACACTTTGCAATGAGAAAGACAAAAACAAATAAGATAATATGCCTCTGTTTGAGGGTTTAACAGTGCAATATTCTTTTAAGTTGTCATTTGATTTGAAATTCAAAAAGTACAGATTAAATGGCAAAGAGAAAAGTAAGCAGCATCTTTATATTAGCTTATGGCTCATTATGTGACTAATAATATGTTACTTGACCTTTCAGTACCCCATTTTAAATCCTTAACTGATACTTAGATTAGCATTTCCAAGCATTTTGAGACCTCTTAAAATATGCTTTGAACTATTCAGTCTAAATGCTGTTTTCTAAAAACCTAGAATGAGGAATGGTGTTAATGGAGTTAATCTTGGGTAATTTCAGTGTGGTTTGTCAGGAATACCTCTACGTAAAGAAAATGACTAATCTTCTTAAATTCATTTTCTCAGCAACTTTGAGGCAGGAGATAATTTACTCTGCCTGTGTACATAATAAGCCCTCTCTTACTAAAGAAATATTTTACTTATGGGAAAGAGGATAACCATAAAATTATTTAAATTTAGACATTGGAAAATATTAAAAGTATAAGATACTTCTTTTTAATTATTTCTTTAATGAATTCTCAACTACCAGTGTAGAAATAAAATCTCCCATTACAAGGAGAAATTTAGCTATGAAGTCAAAACAAGAGCTGTTTGGTTGCTTTAAAAGGAAAGAGATCAAAGAGCTGGTCACTCCTTAACTGAGGGTGTTTGGGCAGCAGGATAGGATAGAGAGTGGAGGGGGGTAGGAACTCAATTCTTTATTGCTTTTATATGAAGCCATCCTTTTCCACTAAGCCTTAGTGACATTTTCTTAGACTGGTTAAGTAAAGGATTCTGCATTTTTCATTACAATAGGGTTTTAATCTTGATTGTTTCTTCCCCACCCCTGGTCATTAAAGGACTAATGCTCTTTCCAAAAGGTTAAAATGAAAGGGTTTTTTTGATAGGAATCTTTATAATTGCCTTAGGTTAAAATAAAATGAATTATTTTGCATATGATTTTCAAGATGGAACTAATTTTAATTGCATTATTTCCATGAAATATCTCAAGGGAATCCAATTTATTTTATGCTATATAAAAAATAATGCAGTTTTCACATTTACGAACCAATAGCAAATCAGGGAAGCTCTTATTTTAAATTCAAAGAGCATTCTCCCAGTGCATTAAAAGGCACTTTTATTTAATTTCACAGTGAAGCATTTGATGACTATGTTTTCTATGTTCTCATCTCACTTAGATTATTGTGGCAGTTTTCTAACTGTGTGGTCTCTATACTGCAGTCTAGCCAGTCTGTCTTCTAACCTAATGTCACATATTGTTCTGAAAGTAGAAATCTGATCATATCATTGTTTGTAGGCTATATAACATTTCAGTGGCTTTCTAGTATTTATGGAGTAAAAGTCTGAATTCCGCAACTTAATACTTGTAGACCTGCACAGTATGGCCCTAAATTGTCTTTCAAATGTCATCTGATACTATTCCACAGAACATACTCTTTGTTCCAGCTGTTTGCTTTTTTCTCAAAGCAGAATTTCTCATGTTATACAACTCAACTTTCCATTCCATTGGCCAAAATATCTCATTTACTTATATTAAATGTCTTGTATATCAGTGTACTGTTTACTGTTTGCATTATATTATGCTTGTTTCATTAAATACCTGGATCATCTCCTATGAACTACTCAGGGCATTCATCTTTATATGTCAGGTACCTATCAGTGTCTGATGTATAACAGATTTAAAAGGTTGTATGAGTGAATACCACAAACATACCTTATCAGATTTATTTGTTAAATACACATCTCAAGAAAGTACCAAAATAGTCCTCTTTCCTCTGAAAGAAAGTTTAGAGCATTAAAATTGGGTATCATAATGTTTTTCTATTTTATAGGCATTGTCAAGATAATTTTAATATTATTCTATCAAAAGATAAAGGGACCTAAATGAAAAACCTAAGGCACAGAATGAATGATGAGAAGGAAAAGTGGTAAATATATGGTAAGTATAAACAAACATTCACCTTATGATAATGTTTTCATCTTTCCCTCTTACCTAAATAGTAAGTGCATTGTTGAATTTTATTTAAAACTTTCAAAAAGGTGTCAGTTAAGGTAACTATTCTTATTTTACAAATGAGGATTCTAGGGTTTGAAGAGTTAAGTAGCTTAGGTTGTAAAGAGAGAGGATAACTACTTTGCTCTGCTGATTCCCAATACAAAGTCCAATTCTTCACTTTGCTTAAATGGTGATTATTTTCTACCCCTCTCTGAATTTGTCTGTATATTTCTAATATTTTGTGATGTTAAGACAAATTGGGGGATGACTCGTCTTAAGTGCTATATTAACAAGAGCTGTCAGTTATTGAACATTATTCTAAGCATTTTATATTTTATCAAAAATACTTAACTATAGGATAGTTAGTATTCTCACTTTATACTAAAGACAGAGATTGAATACAATTAAGAAACTTGAGAAACGTAAAACATAGAGAATTATCTGGAAGTAAGAAGAAACTTAAATATAGATTAATGAAGTTTAGCGAACCCCAAGCAGTGTAAATAAAAAAGCAACATTAAGATACATCGGTGAATTTGGAGAACATCAATAAGAAGAAGAAATCTTAAAGGCAGATAAAGAGTAATCTTCAAGGAATGACAAGAATGATAACTAACTTTCTAGACTAATGATGGAATATTTTAAAATAACAAAGTTTGCAAATATTTACAGATTCTTACTAAAGGATATTCCAAACAAAAAGATTCTACAGGCATAAGATAAAAAGTCCTGGATGAAAAGTTTATGGTGAAGAAATGAATGACAGGAAGGAAAAGTGGTAAATATGTAGCTCAGTATAAACAAACAGTATAAAATGATAATTTGTCTTTATCTTCTGGTTTACAGGGGATCTGATATGAAAGCAGGGACTAGGAAGGGACTAAAAGAAATTAATGATCTAAGGCTATTATCTTTAAAAGGGGTAATTATATAGAGATGATCTTTCATTTTTAACTAATTAGGTATGTGTGCTGAAATACCTGTGATCACTGAAAGAATAAAATGTAATATCCAAACTAGGAGAAAAAAATTTAAAAAAATAACAAAAAAATAAGAGAGACAAAAGAAAAATTATGAGAGAAAAACAAAAATGAAATTGGTAGATTTAAATTCAGATATATCAATAATTACATTCTTAATAGGTTAAATATTCCAGTTAAAGTTGTTAAACCACATTTTAAAGAATCTTTAGTTATATGTTATTAACATTTTAAACATAAGACACTATATAGGTTGAAAGTAAAAGGAAGAAGTTAAGCCATGCAAATACTAAGTAAAAATGCTGTTATAGCTCTATAAAATGAGAACAAAATCAAGAAAGACAAAAGACACTTCATGACCAGTGTTTCCATTCACCAGGTAAAAAAATAACAATTTTATATTTTAATGTACCTCATAACATTGCCTCAAACTATACAAAGGAGAAATTGAAAGACTATAAGAAGTGGAGATTTTTTTTTTTTGGGTACCGGGGATCGAACTCTGGTCCTTGCACTTGTGCAGCAGGCGGTGAAACCGCTGAGCTAAATCCCTGGCCCCAAGAAATAGAGATTTTTTAAAAGCGTGAATCTCTTAAAGTAGAAGACAAAAGTCAGTGAAATTCTGTAATATTTGAACAATAGAATAAAGTGATCTGACATATATAGAATAGTACTCTCAACAAATGCAGATCTAGGTTCTTTTAAAGCATAAATAGAACATTTGTAGAAACTGACTATAGGCTCACACAATAAATTTCTAAATGACTAAAGCCATATGGATATATTCTCTTGCTATAATTATACTAGAAACAACAAAAAGATACTTAGAAAATATTTATATTTATATAATATTAAATGAAGAGATACAATTCTAGGTAACCCATTGGCTGAATAAATAAAACAATGAAATTAAAAATTGTTTTGAACTGAGTGATATTGAATAATGCTACACATCAAAATTTGTGGGATGCACTTAAAGCATCATGCAGAGGGAGATTATACCTGTAAATGCTTATAGAAGAAAAATAAAGTTGTACATTAACAGAGCTATGCATCCATCTAAAAATGTTAGGAAAAGAACGTCAAAATAAAGTATCAAAAGAAAGAAGGGGTGCATTACTTAAAACAGACATTAATGATATAAAACCAGAATAGAATGGAGAGGATCTACAAATCTAAAATTAGTTTGTTGAGAATATTAATAGGAATGAAATACCTTTGGTGACACTGATGGGAATAATAGTCACATGACCACTATCATAAATGAGAAAGAATTCACTATATATATTGATACCAACCAAAGATATTAATTCCCTCATCCTTACAAACAACCAGAACCTTTGGGATGGTCACTGTGGTCATGAGCAGCCTCATTTAGGATTCCTTAGAGTCACAACCTGGGCAATATCTCATGATGTATTTTAAAATCACTGAAGGTGGCAAATATGATAAATAACATCTGTTTCTATTATGAAGTTTTTAATTGAGATTTTTGAAGGCTAGGAGAGTTGCTAGCTTCTTCAAATATAATCTCAATGTTGGGACTATAAAAAATTCACAGATTTTCCTACAGAATTTTATACGCAGTTACATAGCATTTACTGTTTGGTAGACAGTGTCACAAACACCTTATATGTTATTTTTTTATCATAAGTTTTGGCCAGGAAGTATGTGTAGCCATTTCACATATAAAACCAACTATGAAAGTATTTTATGGTCAGAAAACCAAGTTCATATTTCTCATTAAAATTGTGAAAAGGTTTCTTTTGAAACTTTATGCAAATTCAGTTTTTAATACCATCTCTAGTAGTCATATTTTCTTTTTCTTATATAAATAAAAGTAACAACTTTTTTCACTAATACTCCTAATCTCCAGTCTGCATTAGTCATCTGCATTTGAGGGCAAAAAGATGGGTTTCATTATGTTATCAGAGAGGATGGGGGAAGTGTCTAAAGGTAAAATTCTTCAAATCTCTAATCAGTCTGCATTTCAAGGCTGTACTAAAAACAAAAAAAAATTGAATTTGTGTAAAATAACTATCCTTGCTTATTTCTTTGTGTGTTTCTTTTTAATTTTTCTCTTCTTTTTGGTTCATGGCCCCATGTTCTCAGTTTTCATTTGACAGTGGACTTGATCAGTTCCTTAGCCATAAAAAGTTGTGATTTGGGCCAGGGATTTAGCTCAGTGGTGCCACTGCCTGCCTCACAAGTGCAAGGTCCTGAGTTCGATCTCCAGTACCAAAAAAGTTGTGATTGGCTTCATGAGACATTTCTGTGAGCTTTGTACCAATGATTACTTAGTGTTTGCAAAAGAAAACTCAGAAGGACCCAGCCTTCGCCTTCAGTGCCTACTCTGATTTCACAGTGAAATCTAACGTTGTGCTTACAATCCTCTCATAGCTTATCTAACTCTACTAGGTATTCTTTATACCTTAGTTCTCAAAAAAAGCTGAGGGCTACCCAACAATTTTCTCTGCCTATTTCTGGAATCTTGGACTGCTTATTTTGTCATGCAATCATTTTCCAGATGATAAATCAAAGTTCTATAGATGTTGAATCAAAGTATTTTGATAGCCAACTGAATAGCTCTAGTAATTGTGGCTGAATAGAATTTCAGTACAAGCTATTGGGTAATGCTCTGTAAGTATTATTTAATAAGACACTAACCAAACTTAACATTTTCATCCTTTATTGTGTTTATAATTGTGACTCATGTTATCCAAGATAAAACACTGTGTCTTATAAGATATGAATTAGAACTTAGGTCTCTGCCAAAACACTTTGATGTGACTTCTAATGTGAAAAATGTTGTGAAAGTGGACATTTTTCCTTTTCTTTTGGAAGTCATACAAAAGCAGTAAAGGAAATGACAATTTTAAAACCCGCAAATATAATACACAAACTCAAAGCACGTAATAAGACTTATAACAGCAACTGAGAAAAAAAGTTACATGATCAGAAGTGAAAAATAACAACATATCAGAAAAGAAACAGAAGATAATTGTCTCAAAAATCATATTGTTTTTCTTCAGGAGTGTAAGAAATTAGGTAAGCAAGCTGGCAGGAGAAACCCTTCTGAATTATATTTGAGCTAAACAAATCATCACAAGTAATACTGTGCTGCATTTGTAGGAAGAAGAGAGAATCCTTGAATTATAAAGCCTGGACATTATCTTGGCCTCTGTCTCCTCAGCAAGAACTTCCTCCAAATAGCTGGTTCAGGAAATTCAACTCGTTAATAATCAGTAATAAAGGCCACTTGCACCACCTCAAAACACTTGATTGTAGCTAGAAGTCCAAAAAGGGATACAGCCTCAATACAGATACTATAAGATAAACATGGAAGACAGAAGCAAAATTTGTCAGCAGACTATAAAAAGGTGGCCATGAAAAGGGAAAAGGGCATCAAACATTTCATTTTTTTCTGGTAAAAGAGTAACTTCTATAAAGGAAAACTACAAAGAAGAAATTACAAGAAAGGTAAAACAGCAAAGATGTAACAAGAGAAGGAAATGAATTTGAGACAGCTGGTCTGAGGAGAGATTAAGAAAAGGCTAAAGCAAAATTATCAGAGAAATGAAGAAAAATTGGAATAAGCATGGGTAACAGTAGACAACGAGAAAAACAATAAGGAACAAAATACCACTAGAACAAAATCTAACTCTCCCAAATCTTTGAAGATTTAAACACACACACACACTCATACTTACACGTGCATGCACACATGAAAATAAAGTGAAATGTTAATGGCTATGATGTAAAAGGATACAAAAGAACTTCATGTTTGGAGTGGCAAGAATATCTGGTACAAAATGGAAATTATACTCTTCTATAGAATTAAAGGGTCTTAGATGCAAGGAAGGCCTGATGGAAGGAGGAGTAGGATGAAATGGGTTCTTCGTAGCTACTAGTCAGAGGTAGTTTACTTCCTCCATCCTGTGGGTAAATGCAGATTTACCAAAGCCATGGATAAACCTCACCCAATCCAAACCCTATAAAGAATCAGAAAGAAAACAACAACCCTTTCTTCTGACAGCTAAACAAGGAAAGAGTTTGTACTATTTGGTATGTAAATAAAATAATTTACTCTTAGTGTCAGGAGTAAAATTTTTAAAGATTAAATGAAGCAAGAATATGATCCGTATTGAAGAGAAAAAATAATGGTGAAATTTCTCTTAAAGATCAGGGGCAAGGCAAGTTTGCTTTCACCACTTCCTCTGTGCTATAGGTCCTAGCCATAAGATAGTAAGGAAAGGAAATGTATAAGTGTGGAAAAAAAGAAATTACAATCTTTAGAAGATATGATGTTGTACAAAGAAGACACAAAGAAATATGCAAACATTATTTTAGGCAGTTCAAAGTAAACAAGATCAATGTACAAAAATCAGCTTTATTTCTAATTAATAGCAATGAATAATTGAACAATGAAAAATTTAAAATGATACTATTTACAATAGCAGAAAAACATGAAACATTCAGGAAGGAATTCATGAAACATTTAAGGAAGTAATTATTTGTTCAATTGTCCTCTACATTATTAACAAAACATTTATGCAAGACAGTTAAATTACCTAAGTAAATAGAAACGTATATGATGTTCATTGGCTGGTAGATTCAATGGCATTAAGATGTGAATTTATTACAAATTGGTATATAGATTCCATTAAATACCAACCTAAGCACAATCAGCTATTTGTGTGAAAAGTGGTACAAATAGTTTGGAAAATTGTCAGTTTCTCATAAATTTAACATGTATTTAGCAAATGGCTCAGCAATTCTATTTCTAGATATTTACCAAAGATTAATGAAAACACATGTTCACAAAATACAAAAAGATGTTTACAATACTTTGTTTACAATAGCCAGCAATAAAAAATGCACAAAAATTCTGTAAAAGGAAAACAGATAAACAAATTGTGGTATATTCATGCAATGGAATAACAAAATTAAGACTACTCATATCTGTAGTAACATTAATATAAAAACCATGTTTTGCATGAGAGAAGCCAGAAAGAAAACAGAACATGCATTCTGATTCCATTTACATAAAGTTCAAAGCAGGAAAAATAAACTATGGCAATAAAAATCAAAACAGTGGTTCCCTCAGTGTATATGTATGTGTAAATGGGGTGGACAGAGGAAGGGAGTTGTTTGGATCTAAGGGCCCAGGGCAACATTTTCTGTATAAAGGAAATATTCGGTACCTTGTTTGGGATCAGGTAAATTGACTTATGAATATGTTGAAATTTGTTCACTGTGTACACTTAAGATTTGTTCATTTCTATATGTTAATTATATTTGAATAAAAATATTGTGAACTATGTGGCAGCCATGGAGATCTTTCACTCATTCTTCCTAAAGTGTGAGCATGCCTCAAGGTGTGAAGTTAACTATAGTCTCAAATTGTAGCACCAAGATGTGCTGTAGCCTTGGAGTCAAGGTCATGTGGTTTCCTGTAACTCTAGACTTGGTATGGCAAGGGATTAAAACCAAGCCATTTCTTACCAATCTGAGTTTCTCTAATGCATAGTCTTTGTCCAGTAGCTATCTGTAGGGTTGGTCATGACTTTTTCGTGAAATGAGACTCTTCCTACTCAGTTGTCCTCTCTTTCTTCTTTCTCAAGTTTCAGAACTACACCACGGTGTAAACTTTTTCCCTGCCTACTTTTGCTTCTGTTATCTTCTACCTGTCACACTCATTACACCCAATTAATCTTCTGTATGTCTATTGAATGTTGGCTTCTTATATAACCTGGCAATTTAAAATTGAACTGTGATGGAAATGTGACCAAATTTATGTCATAACAACACATTTATATTGGCTTAATTCAGAGAAAAACTTTTTTCAGAAAACAAATTTCATGTTATGCTTTGTGCCAGAGCTCACCTAAAAAAAGTAGATTGAACATGGCTTGAGTATGAACAAAGGCAAATATAAATAGAAAGTAGAGGTCATGATCTTAATAGCACTTAGGACAAATTGAAGTCAAAACATATTAAATGAGACAAAAAAGGAGGCTTTATAAAGCTAACATTTCCTGATCACAAAATTATAATGGGATTGAATAGTTATTCATTGAATAAAGTTGTTGTATCAAAAAAAGATACTATATAGATAGAGAAGTGGAATACCTTTTATGACACTCTACTCCCTTCTACCCATAGCAAATTAAGTGATTAAATATGTTTGGATAAAGAAAGATTACGTCAATAAGATGTATTTTATGTAATATAAAATGAGCTATATATGTAGAATAGAGAATAAAACTTCCTTTTCATTGCCAAGGTAGTGTAACTCAATATTGCCATGTCTTAAGCATCATAAACAACCAATGAATTGTAAAACATTGAAAACGTAGAAACATTTTACAGTTGCAACTTGATAAAAGTTGAAATAATAATGGATGCAGTAAAAACATGTTAAAAATAAAAGAGGAAGAACCACCAAAAAAGAAGAGACAAAGAATCATAACTGTCCTGGTCAACTTTAAGCATACAGATTTGAAAACCTGAGCAAAATGTGTAATTTCCTAAGAAAATATTTATCAATAATGACTACTGAACAAATAAAAAATTGAATCAGTATTTCCATAAAAATATAGTTATCAGATATTTACAGCAGTTTCAATATCAGTTTTACAGGGAATTCTAACAAAACTTTAACACAGAAAATCCTAATGTTTTTTATGTTGGAAGAAAAGAGAAAGAATAGTTCCAGGTTCTTTTGCTGAAGCAAAGATAACAATGAGGCATGCAATAAAGCCTGATAATTTCTTATGAAACTCTTTACTTTCTTTCATAGTAACATACCTGTCCTTGGGCACATGAGTACCCACCTAGTGATTCACTTGTAGTTAGGCATGATCATATCACTAGATTCTTGCTAATGAAATATAATTAGGAGAATGTAGGCCTCCAAACGTTGATTGAGTGTATTATTTTCCTTTTTCACTTTTGGAACATAGTATCTCACACAGATTCAGTCATAGTCATGAGCAACATTTGAGGAGTTGTCAAAGAAATAAAATGAAGTGTGTGGCCATAAAAAAAAAAAATGTCAGAGACTCGCTGTGAGCTTGAACTACTTGCCTCAGAATAGTGATGTGAGTGACCTGAACTCATTGTATATTCAGTTCTTACTGTTATAGTAGTTTTGCCTCCATTTTAACTAATAGGGGACCAAGACCAGAAGTAGATTGAACAACAAAAAAGTACAGATCGGGTGCCGGGGATTTAGCTCAGTGGTTCCAGCGCCTACCTCACAAGCACAAGAATCCGAGTTCAATCCCAGTACCAAAAAAAAAAGTACAGCTCAATCTTACTAAGAATAATTATGTAAAAATGTTGATATATAAATGATACATATGTTACTATCTTTTAGCACCTTAGCAAGCAGAATCTAGAAGTGGATTGAAAAAGTACGTAGTATAACTCCATCATTTAATTCCAGAAATGAATGAACAAACAAAAAATATATATGACATCCACAGTTACTGAGAAGAAACTTGGTAAAACTCAACATCTACTCTTAATTTTAAAACAGAAAAAATTAGGGGTAGATGAATATTCCCTTAAAATAATAAAATATATCTCATTCTAGAAGACAGTGTTATTAATGGTGAAATATCAGAGATATTTCTCACTAAAACCAGTAATAAAACAAGGGTTCTCACTGCCACCACTGTTACTTAATGTTGGACTAGGGATTGTACCCGGTGCAGTCAGACAAATTAAAATGGAGTCGTGTAATTATCACTCTTTGTATGATTGTATACTTGGAAAACCTAACAAAAATTTGTTATACATTTAACAGGATAGTGGGGTATATAAAAAATAAATAGCTCAAGAATTTATATATAAGGAAACAAAAACCAGTTTGGAGAAATAATGGACAAAATGATTCTATTTACAATATCAACAAAAAAATGAAAAACTAAAAATAAACTTAGGAAAAAAGTGCTACAATTTATTGAAGAAAAGTTTAAAACCACTCCAGGATTCAAAAGAAAATTTAATAATAAGACATAATATTTTATTTTCTTAAATTTATGCATAACTTCAATGTGATCCCAATAAAAATATTTAATAAATTTTATTTTTAAAAACTTAATTCTTATTCTAAAGAATATTTGTGTATATCACTATGGTCATAAAACTTTGCAAAAGAAGAATGACAGGTGCTAGCTTCAATAGATATGAGATATAAAGTCTATGATGATTAATTTTGTATCTTGACTCAACTGAGTCACTCAATATCCAGAAGTCTGGTTAAGCATTATTTCTGACTGTCTGTAAGGGTGTTTCTGGAAAAAAATTAGCATCGCCCTCAATTTTTTCTGTCCCTGGTAATTCTTGTTCTCAGGCCTTCAGTCTGACTGTAATTTATACCCGAGGCTCTGCAGCCCTTAGGCCTTTGAATTACATCACTGACTTTCCTGTATCTCTAGCTTGAACCTGGACATTTTAAATTTGTCAGCATCCATAATTGTGTGAGCAAATATTTTATAATACCTCTCTTTCTACAGATATAACCTATTGGTTCTATTTCTTTGAAGAACTAGACTAATACAAAGCTTCAATAGTAATGGAGCATAATCAGGGATATCAATGCAGTAAAAGGTCCAGAAACAGACTCAAATACATATAGAAATTTAGAAAACTATAAAGGCTTCATCTCAAATCATAAAAGGAACATGAATTAATCAATAAATAGTGCTGTATAACTGACTAGTCATTTGAGAAATATTAAAACGTATCTGTGGGCTGGGGATTTAGCTCAGTGGTTTTGCAGCCTGCTGTGCAAGTGCAAGGACCCGAGTTCGATACCCAGTTCCAAAAAAAAAAAAAAAAACCTAAAACATATCTGTGTCAAATATGGTATAGGATAAATAGCAAATACAAGATCTAAATGTTAAAGTATTAATTTTTTCCTTTTCCCTTCCCCCTTTCCATTTGAATGTTTTCTTCCCACTTCCCAATATCATCCTTTTTGGTCCTTATTTCACTTTGGATTTCTCACACAAGAGAAACAATGTGATGTTTAAACATAAGTGTTTGATTTATTTCACTTAAAATTTCCTCAAGGTGCATCTATATACCTAACAATGTCTCAAATTTATCCTTTTTATGGTACTACATTGTATATAAAAACCACTTTTCTTTATCCATTCATCTGTTGATGGGTATCTTGGCTGTTTGCAAGATTTAGCTATTATAAATTGTGCTGCTGTAAACATGGCTGTGCACGTATTGTGTATGATGCATGTGATGCTTTTAATTCTTTCAAGAAGGAGAAATGGAACCTCTAGTTTTAATTTTTTGAGGAATCTCCATACTGATTTCCATATTGGTTTTACCAATTTATACTCCCACCAACAGTGGAAAAGGGTTCCTTTTTCCACACAGCCTTGCCAGCATTTGTTATTGCTGATTTCTTGATGTTAACCATTCTTTCTGGAGTGAGATGGAATCTCAGTGTTGTTTTAATTTGCATTTCTCTAATGACCAGTGAAGTTGAACATTTTTTCATGTATTTATTTGCTGTTTGTACTTCTTCATCTGAGAAGTGTCTATTCAATTCAGATGCCCATTTTTGGGTTGGGTCTTTAAATTTTGGGGTCAGATTTTTTTGACTTCTTTATATTCTAGATATTAGTCGTCTTTCTGAGGAATAGCTGGTAAAAATTTTTTTCTCTTTCTGTGGGTTGTCTTTTCACTTTGGCTTTTTAATATGATATGATCCCAGTTGTTGATTGTTTGAAATGTTTCCTGTGCAATCAGGTTTTGTTCATAAAGTCCTTGCCTACACCTATATCTTCAAGAGTTTTATCTATTTTATCTTCCAGCAGAGTAAGTGTTTCTGTTTTAATATTTAATTCTTTGATCCATTTCAGTTTTAGTTTAGTGCTTGGTGAGAGATATGGGTCTAGGTTTAATCTTTGCATGTAGAAAGTCAGTTTTCCCAACACTATTTATTAAAGAGGTTATCTTTCTTCCCATGAAAGTGTTTGACCCTTTTGTCAAAGATAAGGCGGCTGAGTGTGGTTGGAATTGTTTCTGCATCTTCTGTTCTATTGATCCCCTATTTTTTTGTTTGTTTTTGTTTTTGCCAGTACCATGCTGTTTCTATCATGGTAGCTGTATAGTATAATTTCAAGTCAGGGATTGTGATGCCACTTTCTTTTACTCTTATTACCAAAGATTGCTTTTGCTATTCTAGGTCTTATCTGGTTCCAAATGAATTTTAAGGTTGTTTTCTCTAGTTCTGTGAGTTACACTATCAATATTTTGATCAAGATTGCATTAAATCTGTAGAAC